ACCATCAAGTGCAATGTAGATCAAGTGAGCAAATGGAGGAAGCTGGTGGCCAGGGATGTGTAAACACTTGGGAGATGAATCAAAGTTTTGCCCAAAGAGATTATACCTCCTGCCCCCACCATATGAAAGCTTTATGTTCATATTTTGGGTTTTTCCTTACTTTTTAATTTCCTTGTCCATTCCTGTATTTCATCAGAGATCCAGGGCTGTAGTTAGGTAATTATTTGTTTGCCTAATTTATAAAGATTTTATTTTTCCTTTTTCTCACAAATCCCCATTGTACATAGCTGTGTATTTTTTTTTTTAGTTGTGGGTCCTTCTAGTTGTGGCATGTGGGACACTGCCTCAGCATGGCCTGACGAGTGGCGCCATGTCGGCACCCAGGATTCGAACCGGCGAAACCTTGGGCCGCCGAAGCAGAGCTGGTGAACTTAACCACTCAGCCACAGGGCCGGCCCCTGTTTGCCTAATCTAAAGGACTGACATATGGCAGCTCTATTGATGAATCTGAGATTAATTCATATCTTCTCTCTCTCTCTCCCCCTCCCCCCTCACTCTCTCTCTCTCTTCTCTTCTCTTCTCTTCTCTGTTTCTCCCTCTGCCTCTTTTTTCCTTAAGATGGTTTGGAATCATAGGGTTAGAACCAATGGGTAGAAGCAGTTCTGGAGACACTGATTTTGGTGTAATATAAAAAGATGCTATCTCCCACCACTAGAGCACTTCATTAGTGGAACAGGCTACCATTTGAATAGAGAACTTGCTGCCATCAAGAATGTGCAAGTGAAAACTGTGCAGTCACCTCTCATCGATGCTATAGGGAGGAGAGGAGTGGAAACATAAGCTCCACCAACCATTTAAGATTCTGGTTGTGGGTTTATGAGTATGAGTATGCTAAAGGGCTTGAGTGGTTGGTGACAGGAAGGCCAATTACTTGGGGTCTGAGTTGTGGATGATTGTGAGGCCTGAGGTTTGAGTCCAGGAGGACGGCTGGTTAGAGGTGTGTGTCTTCATTTTAGTGAGTGTGGGAGCAGGGTCAGGACTTGGCAAATGTATGGCATTGTTGAGGCTTGGATTGAAATCGCACAACCTGATTTTTCGTATCCTTTTCTGGCATGTAGGCCCTGTTTTTCCCAAGTCTGTCTGGGGTGGTTTGCTACTCTGATTTTTGTGGCCGGCGCGATCACTTAGGTGGCTCTCTGTGTGATTTCTCCTGAATAAACTTGAATTTGAATGTATATAAATAAATAAACTTTCATTTTGTCTTTGCTGGTTTGGATCAATTGACCTTTCAGCTGTTGAGTGTGTTGAAATCTTACTACAATTTGCATTTGTCAGTAGCACTTTCTTTGTTCTATTATTATTTTTTTCTCTGTAATGTTTGAGGGCATTTTATCAGATCTATTACGTGTTTAAAATTTCTCTCTCTGAATTAAACTTCTTGTCTTTGTCTAGTGGCCTTCTTGCTCCCAAATGATGATCTCTTTCTTCAAGTCTACATAAAAGCTTAGTAACTCAACTTTTAATTACTTAATATTTGCCTGATAGGAATTTTTATTTTTTTATTTCTACTTCCTAGCACTCTGATTTTATTTTTTCTGCTTAAAGCATTTTGCCCCTCTTACAAAAACTACATTCTAGATCATAATTACTTGTGTGTTTGCCCTATACTGCCATTGGTCTATATGTCCCTTGAAAGCAGGGCTGGTTTTTCTGATTGCTGGGTTCTCCACAGTGCTGTGAGAAATAATGGTTCTGCTTTGGTTTTTTTACCCGTCCAGATGGTTATCACAATGCTGTCCAGTATCAGGAAGTAATGTTAGGGTGTGCTCCCAGTTGCTCAGCAAGGCATTGGCACCCAGAATTATCTGGTGTTGGAAGGTGTTGGTTTCACAGAATTGGTAAGGTGATGCGGGGTCCCTCAGAGGTGAAATTAAAGTTGCTATTGCAAATAGAACTTGGTTACAAGCTGGAAAATCCCCATGTTGTCCTTAATAAATAATTAATACTAAGGAAAATATAAATTTGAGTACTTAGCTTTGTAGTTTATGAGGTCTTCTTTCTTTTCTGAGGGACTACCTTACATTCTTTTTTATTTTAAGGAAGCTCACTTTTTTTTTTTTTAAAGATTGGCACCTGAGCTAACATCTGTTGCCAATCTTCTCTTTTTTTTTTTTTTTTTGTTCTCCCCAAAGTCCCCCAGTACATAGTTGTATATTCTAGTTGTGGGTCCTTCTGATTGTGCTGTGTGGGACGGCTCCTCAGCATGGCCTGATGAGCGCTGCCATGTTCGTGCCCAGGATCCAACTGGTGAAACCCTGGGCTGCTGAAGCGGAGCACATGAACTTAACCACTCGGCCACGGGGCCAGCCCTACCTGACATTCTTAACAGTTAGGAAAGTAACATTAGTTGAATACCTACTTATATGCCAAGCACTGTCCAGTTAACACCTTTAATATTAAATCTATTTTATAATTGTGGAAACTAAAGTGCAGGAAATGGGGAAACTGGCCCAAAGTAACATAGTAAGTGATAGAATGTGATGTTTAGGAAGCAGGAAAACCTCAATTATAAGTTTAAAAGAAAACCTACCATTTACTAAGTGATTTTTAAGTTCCAGGCACTGATAGATCAGTTCACGTGTTTTACTTAAGGCTCACGCTAAGCCCATTAGATAGGTCTGATTATTGCATCTTTGGGAATTTAAAGCTCACAAAGGTTAAATCATTTATTCAAGTCACTCAGCTTTAAATGGCAAAACTGACATTTAAACCCACTTTAAAGCCCCTGCCGGGTGACGGGGCCTCAAGTCACTCAGCTATAAATGGCAAAACTGACATTTAAACCTAGGTGTGACTTTAAAGCCCCTGCTGGTAGGTGACAGGTCCTCTCACCCTTAAATAGATCTCAAACCACACACGTCTGAACCTCACTCAGTCGCCAACTATTTTTTCATCAGAACCTCACTCCACTGGAAATAAATATTTAAAAATAAATAAAACATTTTTCATCAGAACCTCTCTCTCCATCTTCTGCCCCCACACATACACCTATCGGCCTTTCTCCTTCCAGCTTCTGGAAGAAATGAAAGCCTGATAGTTTATTTCTTGGAGTATGCTAAGTTTTCCTACGCCAAAAGAAGCAGAGGATAATGGGATTCGGAGTGAGGAATCTTCATTCAAATCCTGGTTCTAAATCATAGTCACTTTCTGTGACTCCCATATGTGGTCACAGAAAAGTTAAGCAGTTTGAGCTTCAGTTTTCCTATCTGTGGCATAAGCTAGTTATACCCATCTCAGAGGGCAATCAATGAGATGGTAGAAGTAAGATCTCTAAAACTCAGCAAGTATTGTCAGTGGAATGCAATATAATATAAGGCAGCTGTTATCCAAGCAAGGTCTGGGAATCTCCTGGAGTCCTTGAGATCCTTTTAGGGGTCTGTGACCTGAAAACAATTTTCATAATAATACTAAGACCTTATTTCTCCTTTCCATGAGTTTACAGTGCTATTCTGTCCAAGCTACAGAATGTGAGATATCACAAAGATTGAATGCAAGAGCAGTTGAGAGAATCCAGTTGTCTTCCATTAAGCTGGAGACAAACAGTGGTTTCCTAACTTTGCTCTGCATTGGGAAAACCTGGAAATCTTTTAAAAAAATATCAAGGCCAAGCTCTCACCTCATTCTGATTTAAATTGGTGTATGGTGGTATGTGGTGGGCTAGGGAAGGGGACAGGTTTATAAAAGTTTTTCAGGTGATTTGAATGTGTAGTAAAGTTAAGTGGAGATTTGTTTTTCAATGGATATAAAGTTTTTGTTATGCAAGATGACTAAGTTCGAGAGATCTGCCGTAAAAAAGTACTTACAGTTAATATGGTATTGTGCACTTTAGAATATGTTAAGAGGATAGGTCTCATGTTAAGTGTTCTTACCAAAAAACAGAAACAAAACCCCACAAAAGAACACAAGGAAATCTTTGGAGGTGATGGATATGCTTAGTACCTCGGTTATGGTGATGGTATCAGGGGCGTATGCCTAAATTAAGTGTGTGCAATTCTTTTGTATGTAAACTATAACTCGATAAAGCTAATAAAAAGAAAGTTAAGTAACCTAAAAAAAGAAATTTGCAAAAATATATATCAGTGCGACTGTCTGTACTAAGTTTTTTATTTGGAAAATATAGTGGTTTTAATAAAAATGTCATTTATATTAATGTGTAATCAGTCTTCAATAATATTTAAGAGTATAAAGGAGTTCTGAGACCTAAAGTTTAAGGGACCTTGGTATGTTGCTTATGGGAATTAAGACCTTGGGCTCTGGAGCCAGACAGTCTGCTGATATCATGGCTCTGCCAATGCGAAATTTGCGATCTCGGGCACATTACTTACTCTCTCTGTGCTTCAGCTTCTTTGTCTGTAAAATGAGCATAATAATACAATTTACCTCCTAGAAGTTTTGTGAGATTAAATGAGTAACACAAATAAGATTCTTAGCATGGTGTCTGGAACATTGTAGTGGCTTTCATCAATATTTGCCCCCATTGTTGTTCACTATTGTAGTAGTTGTAAGTGGCTAACATTGATGATCTCTCAGGATCGATGTAAAATTTGTGGGCCAAGCCATTATTTCAACCAAGCTATCTTTCCACACGACAATGGAGTAGGAGCCAATAGGTGGTGTCTCTTGGAGAAATCATCAGGGGATGTCATGGACCTGGTCACTCCACCCCTTGGGCTTTGATTCATTTCTCTGTACAGTGGCAACACTGCATTGCTGTCCTTTAGTTCAGTGAATGCATGACTAAGAGAGGAAGTGACACGTAGGTGACCATGTGATTTGGTGAGAGGAGGAGACCACATTGCAGAGAGGCATGATGTGTTTCATCAGCCAAATGTTCCCAGACCCCATTCCCTTGAGTTGCTCCCTTTTGCTTCCAAGAGTTGCCAGCCTTAAGATTCTGTGTTCCTTTTGGCTTTTCCTCACAAGCATAATTCATCTCTCAATAATATTATAACACATCTTTATTCTCACAGAGCTATTTAACATCATGCCTCAGAATCACAACAGTCAAGGTTGCTCTTCGAAATTGAGAAAGACAGAGCAATGAGTAATTCCATAATGCTGAAGGCCATCAACATAGTCAAAATTCCCTGTAACAGAAGAAGAAAAAAAAATGAAGAGTTATACTATTAGCACGATAATGGATTTTCTGATGACAATGAGGTAGCAATGCCCAGGTAAGAAAAGCTCTCCCACATGTCTCAGGTGTAGCTGATGCTTAGGAAGCAAATTAGGAGAGGATCATGAGAATATATAGCTTTTGTGTGTGCATGTGTGTGTGAGGAAGATTGGCCCTGAGCTAACATCTCTGCCAATCTTCCTCTATTTTTTCGTATGTGGGATATCGCCGTAGCATGGCCCAATGAATGGTGTATAGGTCTGTACCCAGGATCCGAACCCGTGAACCCAGGGACCCTGAAGCAGAGCGTGTGAACCAAACCAGTATGGCTCTGGGCCAGCCCCCTGTACGGCTATTTTAGCATAGCACAGCACAGTACAGCACGGCATGGCACAGCACAGCACGTAATGGCACAGCATAGCGTATTATTTTCTTAGAGAATGTCATACAAAAATAATCCACTTTCTAAATTATGTTTAGGAAATACTCCATTTCCTAAATACATAAAATACAAAGAAATAATATTAAAAAAAGTAGTCTGTTGAAGGAGAAAGAAAGTTAAGCGTCAGGAAATAGAAGCAAAAATATAAAAGAAAATAAAAAGGAAGAAAAAATTACAGGCCCAGAAAAAGAGGAACATGCAGAAGAAGACACATAGAAAGAAGCATAGGCTAATAGTACCATCTTGTGTTCTTTTTATCACCGCTAAAGACCTTCAGATGTTTTGTATCTTGGCAAGTGAGAGCATAAATCGGGATACGCACTTTGTTTGTAGCCCAGAGGCTGGGCGCACCACTGTTTTGCTGGTGAAGGTTTGGAGAGATTAATATGTTAACATTCTGTTCTACAACCAATTTGTCTACATGCTTTGACTATAGGTTGAAAAACTGTTTATTTTAGAGTCACATGGTTTTTAATGGCATCATCAAATCTCATGGCCTCATTGCCATAATTTGTTTATTCTTTAGTGACAGGAAATAATTTTCTTCTTTTCTTTTCTCTCTTTTTCTTTTTGATCACTCTGAACAATGCTTCAGTAAGCATCCTTATACACATAGCCTTATATGTAGGTGGTTTAATGACTGTGGGGCTAGCTACCTGCGTTAAATTATGCCTATCTTTCATATAAGTAAATGTCTCCTTGCTTTCCAAAATGTTAGTAACATTTCACATTTCTACCCCTGATAGACAAGAGCATCCTTTTCACCATTTCTCTGCCAATGATAATTTTTTATCATTAAAAAGTTTTTAATTTATCATTAAAACTCTTTAATTTTTGCCATTCTAATGATAAACCTTAGTCCATTGTTAATTTAATTGGAATTTCCCTGACTTCTGGTGAATTTGAGCATCACTCTATGAGTATATTTGGCCACTAGATTTGCATTTTTGTATATTCCTTCCTCATAATCTTTGTCTATTTTTTTTATTGTGTTCTTGACCTTTTTTTTTTTTCAGGAAGATTGGCCCTGAGCTAACATCTGTGCCCATCCTTCTCTATTTTATATGTGGGACACCTGCCCCAGCATGGCTTGATAAATGGTGCACAGGTCCGTGCCCAGGATCTGAACTGGCGAAACCCAGGCCACTGAAACAGAGTGTGTGAACTTAACTGCTATGCCACCAGGCCGGCCCCAATGTGTTCTTGACTTTTTGTCAGTTATGTTTGCTCTTTTGTATATAAAATCATTAAAACTTTGCTGTTATCTGCTTTAAAAATATTTTTCCAATCCTTTTACCATTCTGGAGTTTATACGAATGTATATATATATATATATTTTACCTTTTTACTTTCCAGATCAAGATATACTGTATGTATCCATCACCCCAGTAAGTTCTCTTCTGTGCCGTCCCAGTCACTCCCCCTACTCCATCCACAGGCAACCACTATTCTGATGTCTAACACCATTTATTAAATTTGCCTGTTCCTTTTTGTATTTGAATTCAGTGTTTTAATTTAGGGATTGAAATTTGTCCGTGTCGTTGCATGTATCAGTAGGTTGTTCCATTTTTATTGCTAAAGAGTATTCTGTTGCTTGAATAATCACAGTTTGCTTAGCTACTCTGTTATTGATAGGCACTTGAATTGTTTCTCGTTTTTAACAATTATGAATAAATTTGATATGCACCTTCTTGTATGTATTGCTGAGATATATAATAGGTCTATGCTTAATTTTGTTAAAAACTGCCAAATAGTTTCACAAGATGGTTGAACCATTTACACTCCAGCCAAAAATGTATAAGGATTCCAGTTGCTTCACATTCCTGTCAACACTTGGTTTTGCCAGTCCTTTTAATTAAAGTCATTCTGGTGTGCACGCAGTAGTATCTTGTTGTGATTTTAATTTGCATTTCTCTAGTAACTAATAATGTTGAGCACATTTTTTACATGCTCACTAGCCATTCGTATATCTTTGTGAAGTGCTTGTTCAAGTCTGACTCATTTTTAAAAATCTTTTTATTATTGACTTTTGGGAGTGCTTAATATATTCTGTATATGGGTCCTCTGTTAGATATATGTATTGAGGAGATTTTCTCCCATCTTGTGCCTTGTCTTTTCACTTACTTTTTAAAAAAATTGATATAATTGACATATAACATTGTGTAAGTTTAAGGTGAACAACTTGTTGATATGATACATTTATATTGCAATATGATTACTACTCTACAATGTTCATTAGCTAACACCTTCATTGTCACATAACTGCCATTTTTTTTTGTAGTGAGAACATTTAGGATCTAATCTCTTAGCAACATTTAAGTGTAAGTAATATAGGATTATTAACTATAATAAGAATGCTGTGCATTAGATCTCCAAAATTTATTCATCTTCTAACTGAAAGTTTATGCCTTTGACCAACATCTCCTCAAATCCCCCACCCACTAGCCTCTGGTAACTGCCATTCTACTCTGTTTCTACGAATCTGGCTTTTCTTAGATTCCACGTGTAAGTGATATTGGATAGTATTTGTCTTTCTCCATCTGACTTGTCTCGCTTAGCATAATGTCCTCAAGGTCCATCCGTGTTTTTGCAAATGGCAGGATTTCATTCTTTCTCATGGTTGACTAATATTCCATTGTATATATATACCACATTTTCTTTATCCATTCACCCATCAATGGAAACTTATGTTGTTTCCATGGCTTGACTATTGTAAATAATGCTGTAATGACCATGAAGGTACACATATCTTTTCGAGTTAATGTTTTTGTTTCCTTCACATAAATACCCAGAAGTGGAATTGTTGGATCATATGGTAGTCCTATTTTTTATTTTTTGAGGAACCGCCATACTGTTTTCCATAGCAGTTGCACCAATTTACATTCCCACCAACAGTGTACAAGAGTTCCCTTTTCTCCACATCCTCAACAACCCTTGTTATTTTTTGTCTTTTTGATAATAGCCATTCTAAGAGATGTGAAATGATCTCATTGTGGTTTTAATTTGTGTTTTCCTGATGATTCATGATGTTGAACATCTTTTAATGTACCTGTTGACCACCTGTATGTCTTCTTTAGGAAAATGTCTATTCAGATCCTCTGCCCATTTTTAATTGGATTGGTTTTTTGCATTGAGTTGTGTAAGTTCTTTATACATTTTATATGTTAACTTTTTTCAGATATTTGATTTGCAAAATCTTTTCCCAATCCATAGATTGCCTTTTCATTTTGCTGATGTTTCCTTTCCTGTGCAGAAGGTTTTTAGTTTGGTGTAGTCCCACTTATTTTTGGTTCTGTTGCATTTGCTTTTGATGTCAAATGCAAAAAATCATTGCCATGACCTGTGTCAAGGAGCTTACCACCTATGTTGTCCTCCAGGAGTTTTATGATTTCAAGTTTTAAGTTCAAGTTTTTAATCCATTTTGAGTTGATTTTTGTGTCTGGTGTAAGATGCTGAGCCAGTTTCATTCTGTTGCATGTGGCTGTCAAGTTTTCCCAATACCACTTATTGAAGAGACATTCTAGGTCCATGGATCAGACGACTTAGTATGCTAAGATATCAGTACTCCTCATAACTGGTCTATAGGCTCAATGTAATCCCTATAAAGATCCCAGATGGCTTTTTTCCCCCAGAAATTGTCTGGATGAGCCTAAAATTCATATGGATATGCAAGAACCCATAACAGCCAAAACAATCCTGAAAAAGAACAAATTTGGGGAACTTGAAGTCCCCATTTCCAAAACTTACTACAAAGCTAGAGTAATCAGACAGAGTGGTTCTGGCACCAAGATAGACATATAGATTAATAGAATAGAATTGAGAGTCTAGAATAAATCCTTACATTTATGCTCAATTGATTTTCATCAAGTGTGCCATGGAAATAAAATAGGTTAAAAAATAATCTTTTCAACAAATGGTGCTTGGATAGCATGCAAAATAATGAAGTTGTACCCTTTCCTCACAGCATATACAAAAATTAACTCAAAACGGATCATATAGCTAAATATAAGGCTTGAAACAATAAAACTCTTAGAAGAAAACATAGGAATACATCTTCATGACCTTGAGTTAAGCAGTGGTTTCTTAGATACAACACCAAAAGCACAAGCAAGAAAAGAGAAAATAGATAAACTTGACTTCATCTAAATTAAGAACTTTTGCTTTACAAAGAGTGAACTTTAATGCATGCAAATTAAAAAAAAAAAACTTTAGATGATCCAGGAACCGCAGAGTGTAAAGCAGACTGTGACAAAATAATCTAATAGTATTACAAATATATGAAATAAGCTCACTGAAGAGGATTAGGGGTGGGGGAAGCTGCTTATTGAAGTTACTTTGACAGGAATGGAATCTGTAAGAGTAAATGCAAAAGGAACTGTTCATAAGCACTGTTTTCCATGGAGTTATCAGTTAAATATAATGGATATATTTACTATTCATAAGTTGTTTCCCACAGAGGTATCAGTTAACAATTCTGACACTACTGTACGTGTATGAACTGTAATTGAGACACTAAGTAAATGGATGGAGGATGGTGGGTGTCAGACTCCTCCTCACTGTTGGAGGGGAAGGTTTCAGATAACCAATGAGGCAGGCTAAAATGATCCATATAGTAATGGACTAGAGTTGTAGACATCATTATGAAACTCATGCCCAGACTAATGTAGATAGTGATGGATACATAAAGAAGTATTTATAGCTATGTGTATGTACATGGGTTAGGAGACACATATATTTCCTTGCTCTATCAGCTGAGAGGGTCTAAGAAACAGTGGCATTCCAGTAGCAACAAGTACACCTAGTCCCCATTTCTTGGTTTCTAATACCGCTCTCCAACAAAAGGAACTGGGGCTCCTTGGAGAAATGGCCTATCTTAGGCCTAGGGCAGGAGAGATACAAGAGGAATCTGGAGTATCTTGTAGTGCTAGAAAGTGAGGAAATGCAAAGACAGACAAACGACCCCACCTCCACACACACAATATAGGGATATGTCAGAGGATTACAGGAGCCAACTGAAAGAGGTCCCAATGGCTAAAATTGAATAATTTGCACTACAAAATAAATAATACTTTTAGATTGTAATCCAAAGTATAAAATAAATACCCATAAATTTGTATGATTGAGTCAATAAGTTATAGAGGAAGAATAGGCAAATCTCCCATTTAGAAGAATTTCAAATAATTTACTTACACTCTATCCTGAAGGAGTTGGAGCCTAACTCCCTCTAACTGTTGGTTGTACATAGTGACCTCACTCCGAAGACTAGTATGTACAGAAAGGGGGAAAAACAACTTGATACACAGATGAATTCAGTATATGAAAATTCATCAAGCTACGTACTTATTCTTAAATTTTAAAAAGTTGTAAAAATATGTCAAACACATCAACATTATATCTGTCTTTTCCTGTAGAAGTCCTCATACAAAGGCTTCCAGGAAAAGCTATTGATCATATGAACTAATTCAAAAAATTTTCTTAGGTTTAATTCTCAGTAGTATTTCAAAAAGATGAATATAGAGAAGGGCATATATAAAGGTTCAAGGGATAAAGTTAGTCAAAGGGTGATCTAGGTAGGGATTGGTCAGATTTTGTAAACTAAAACAGCAACCTTATCTTTGAAATACATTTGAAGAATTATATGGGTCAAGATTAGAAAATGTCAAAAGAGTTTGAGCCTAGAAAGTTTATTTTGAACATAAGGATAGACCAACACCCGGAGTCCCCATCATACTTCCTTCCAGTTATTATTTCTCCCAAGGTAACCTGTATTCTAATGGCCTATTTCTTGAAGATAATCTGCCTCTTTTCACTAGTTGCTTTGAAATTTTCTCTGTCTTTTTTTTTCTGCATTTTCTGTGTAATGGGTCTAGGTGTTTGGGATTCAGTTGACTTAGCATATGTGGGCTAATGCTTTTCATTGATCTAAAAATCTATTGTCATTTTCTCTTTCTCATTTTCTGTCTGTCTATAATTCTACCCAAGTTTATGTTAGACTTTTCCACTGTATATTTCATATCTCTTACCCTCTCTTCTGGATCCCCTTTCTCCATGAAATAGGATCCATTCTCATCTATCTAGTGTGCAGTATCAAACACGATACCAAATTCAGTAGGAGTTTTGTGAGACTATTGGGTGTTTCCCCCCCGCCCCCCCGAGAGCCTTTGGTTTTGCTTTAGTCAGGTGCTAGGGCACCAAATACCAAGACCAAATTCATGTCTTGAGCATTCTTGGCTCACCCAGTTTGTGTCTACCAAGGTTAAAACTCCAGTGGGAGTGATGGGTGGAGGAGGTTGTCAGGAAGTCTGTCAGGTCTGTCATGTGGCCACAATTTCTCAAGGACTTCTATCTTTATCTTTTCACTCCGTTCAGTTATTTGTCTCTGCTATTATGGGCCAGAGTACTTTGTATGTCTTTTTGCCCTTAACTGAAGAATGTAGTAGTCTGTCAAGGACCTAGTTCAATGTGGAGAAAATCTCTTCTAAGTCTTCCCACTTTGAGTGGATTCTGGGCTTTAGCTTCTATCTCCTTCATTAAACTTAGGCTGGAAATCAGATTCCAAATGGACAACACTGGCAAATGGACTGGAGGTATAAGCAGCTTTGTTGGTCTTCGGCGTTCCATTGAGAGATTTCAGGTTAGGCTTTCATCTAAAAGTTGATCTAGGAATTCCAATTGACTTTTCAGCTCTTCAATGCTTTTAAGGTGTTTTAAAAATTTTTTTAATGTAGCTTTTTCTTTGTTTTCAAAGGAGAGTTGAACCAAATAGCCCAATTCACTACTACCAAAAACAATCTATTTTTTCTCTTCTCCCCTGCCTTCTGTGGTCCTAGTACATCCAATGCTCAATATTTCTTAGATTCTGCCTGACGAAATATTTTGCTTCTATTAGGACTCCTTTTTCCTTAGGTGCTTAGTTTTCAGCTGTCTCAGTGGTTTTTTGACGGGTCTTGTTGACTTTTTTTCTCTTCTTGTAGATTCATGTCTTTACATTTCTTTACACTAATTTTAGTGGTGTTTTGGAAATAGAAATAAATGCCTGTTTTCAATCTACTATGTTTTATTGGAAGTCCAATCTAAATATTAAAAACAAAAACAAAACCACAAAAAGACTCCACTCATGATTCTAATGTAATCTAAGACTATGAGCTACCACCATACTTCTATACCTGTAGTTTTCTTTTAGTATATCACTTTGTCTTTTATATTATGCTCATTAGTGTAGATGTTTTATCTCCTCTACTCATCTATGAATTCCTAAAGGTGGGGGTTATAATGTGTTTATTTTTCTATTCCACAATGCCTGGTATAACGTCCATCAGATGCTGATTTCTGTAAATGTTTGTGAATAAAAGAAAATACATGTGTCCACAACATTATTTGGATGGTGCTGATTGGACACTAATACATCTATATGATTAAACCCATCACTCCTCACCCTAAAAATGGAGCATACTTACAATGAATAGGGTGGTAACAGGTTGACATTGACTCACTTCTTCAGAATAGCCACAAAAGTAGTGTTGATCTAGAATGAAGCCAAATGTGAGGAGAATGATTCCAGCAGTTGCTGCCAGGGCACTAAGAAAATTCATTATTCGGCTCCTTGCCACCTGAAAGAAAATGAGAACATAACACAATGACTCAGGCCCAGCCTGAGTTTGTAGACAAAGCAATGGATGGGGAGACTGGAGAGCAGGGCTGTTGTCAAAGCATTGCAACGCCTCAAAGCATCTGTGTGATCTTATGTGTCGCTTCACCTCTTTGGGCTTCAGGCCCTTATCCACAGGATAAGGGAATCTAGTGAAGTTTTAATAACCCTTCCATACCCCACAATTTGTGCTTAAGTTAACTCTCATTCAATTGGAGGGAGGGATGCACACTGGACAAAAGACGTACTTAGAGGTAGCCACACTGTGTTGCATTTTGATGCTCTAGTAGAAGTCATGACCTATTTACATTTTTGTTTTATGACTCTGTTTAGCTAAACATTGTATTTCTTTGCAATTTTTATTTCTTCCTACAACTACAAAACTAAGGAGATGGCCTTTGCTGAAAATAATTTATTGGCTTATTAATTAATATCTCATATCTTTGATTCCTTAAGAAAAGTAAAAATATTCTACTTATAATTCATCTGCAAGGTATAAATTTGCATTTGTTAACGCCGTATTATTTATTTTGAGATTCTGTTTATAAGGTTTAATTAGGTTGTCTATACAGTGTGCCTAACATATGAATCAAACTGGTGCCTTTCGAAATGTCGGGCATGTAGTAAGCACCAAAAATACTTAACAGAAAGAATGAATGAATGAGTTCTTGGAATACGGAGACCCACTCTGCCATTTGACTGAGGAACTGGGACAAATCAGTTATCCTATGCCTCAGTGTCTTCATATATAAACTAAGAATTAAACTGGATGACCTAGAAAACTCTCTTTTGGCACTAATGTTGTACGATTCTATGAAAAAAGAAGCAAATGCCATTGATTGGTATCCATACTTGACAGTTTGTGCAATATGGTGGCTTAATGATTTTCCAAATTCATTTCCAAGGCTATAAAGAATTATAATAAAGTTATAAATTTTTTAATAAAGGGGAAATATAACTCACCAGAGTTTCTGTGGCTTTTCTTTCCAATGCAATTAGGAAGGCTCCAGAATTAATGAACTGTTAAAAAGAATAAATGGCTTAGTGATGGACATCTTTAGCTGATATTAAAGTGTGGTCACAGAATAGACCTCTAAATATTCCTTTTACATACCCTCCTTCCTAGTTCACACAATCGTTAGGGCAGTGAGAAGGGTGAGACGCCTTTAATGATTGTCCACAAATGAATAGTGGACAAAATACTGGACTAGAAACTTGCTTTAGCCTTAACTATTTGAACATGAGAATTTTTTTTAACCTTACTGGGTTTGCGTTTTCTCATCCATCTTCCTTTTATAGCTACTGTGGACTCCCTGTTGATATCACAACACAAACGTCAAATCAGTTTACAACCAATAGGATCAGATTCCACCATTCTTATAAGAAACATCTTTCATACCTATTTGCAATCTAGTGTCTTCTCTTGGATGGGAACATAGGTGGAGTTGCAGCTAATATGGTAGAAATTCTGAAAAAATCCCTAGAATTTTCATGGAAGTAAGTCATCTGTGGTAGCATCATTGTCTAGGAGAAATTTCAAATCTGATTTACAGCACATCCACTTTTAAATTTCTAGTCCTATTGCCTGATATTTCCTCAGCCTCATCCCTCCACTCTCACTCTCTGTGCTGAACTCTGACAATTCTCAGAATAAACAATGTTCTCTCATCCCTTGAGCCTTTTACTCATGTTTTTCCCTGGCCAGATATCCCTACCTTTTACACCCAATATCCCCCACCCCTTCCTCCATAGGTATCCTCACCTGATTCATCCTCTAAAACTAGTCAAGCTGTAAATGTCTCTCAGCAGCCTACCCTCCATTGCATAGGTGCCTTTCCTTTGAGGCAGCTTCTGTGTCCTCTGTCACCACTCATCACACCATATGACTGTAATTGTCTGAGTCTCCACTCAACCTGGATCTTGAAATGAGGGATTGCCTTTTCTCAGAATCCCCACACATTGCCCATTCTTTGCACTAAATTAGTTGCCAAAATAATGTTTATTGAATGTGATTAAATGCGATTAAATAGGTGCCTCTGTGCAGCTTGAAGGTACATCTATTTCATTTTTCTAAAGAGTAAATTGATCCTTCATCTCTGCTTATATACACACTTTCTACACCTCTGTGATTATCATTTGTCACGTTTCCTTGAAATGACCTGTTTACATGTTTTCTTTCTTGCTAGACTGAGAGCACTTTGAAGGAAGGGCCCAAAGTATTATTATTTTTGTTTGTTTTTTGCTTTTCCCCCCCAGTTTTATTGAGATACAACTGACATACAGCATTGTATAAATTTAGGATGTACATAATGATTTGACTTAAATATATTGTGAAATGATTATCACAATAAGCTTAGTTAACAGCCATCATCTCATATAGATACACACACAAAAAAAACAAAAACAAAAAAAGGAAAAAGAAGAAAAAATATATTTTTTTCTTGTGATGGGAACTTTTAGGATCTACTCTTGTAAACATTTTTTTATATATCATACAGCAGTATTAACTATAGTCATCACATTGTACGTGCATTCCTAGAACTTATGTATCTTATAATTGGAAGTTTGTGCCTTCTGACAATCTTTATCCAATATTCCCTTCCTCCACTCCCCACCTTTGGTAACCACAATCTGATCTCTTTTTCCATGTGTGGTTTTTTTTTTCAGACTCCACATATAAGTGAGATCATACAGTATTTGTCTTTTTGTGTCTGGCTTATTTAACTTAGCTTAATGCGCTCAAGTTTCATCTATGTTGTCACAAGTGGCAGGATTTCCTTGTTTTTTTTGTAGTGGAATAATATTCCATTGTATATATGTATGTATGTATGTACGTATATATATGTGTATCTCACAACTTTTTTATCCATTTGTCTGTCGATGGACACCTGGGTTGTTGCCATGTCTTGCCTATTGTAAATAATGCTGCTATGAACATGGGGGTAGATATCTCTTTGACATAGTGTCTTCATTTCCTTTGGATATATTCCCAGAAATAGAATTGCTGAATCATATTGTAGTGCTGTTTTTAATTTTTTAAATTAAAAATTTAATTTAAAATTTTGAATTTTCAAACAGCCACCATACTGTTTTCCATAGTGAGAGCCCACATATTATTGACCTTTGGATCCTCATTTTATCTCTATGTATCTGGCTTATAAGAGAGAATAATTAATTTTAAATGAATAAATGGACAAATAACATCAAGACCCCCCAAAATATTCCCAAAGGAACTTCAAGACCCAATGATAGAATATTAGTAACTCTGATGAATTAATGGAGAAATAATTTCAACAAGGTGGATTTTTATTTTAACTTTTCAATGTATATCATACAACTGAATGCAGCTCATTTCATAAGTAAGAATTCCTTAATATCGCTGTTGGCATGGCTTCAAACTGAAGTTGATTGACTATACTCACCAAAAGGGTGCTCCAGAATGGATATCCTGAAACAAATATAAAGGGGAATCTTGGGTACGGGTTTTCAAAGGTGAAAAGGAAAACAACTCCAAAAGAAAAGTTCATCAGTCCAAGCACAATCTGGATAGTCTGTAAAAAGAGGAAAAAGTCATGGTGAGGAAAAGGCAAAATGGTGAGTTCCCTTTCTGAAAAATGTAGAAGATCTCCTTTGGGTTAAAAAGATTTGGCAATTATCCTCTTTTATAGATAAGGGAAGGATAGTAGAAGCCCATGTATGATGTTCCCAGGTATTTTCTTGAAATCTTTTATCTGGTCTTTGGTAATAGGTAAAATGATCTAAATTAATGCTCCTGAAAATGTAGTCCATGGATTGGCAACATTAGGATCATCTGGGAATCAGAAATGCAAATTATCAGACCCTATCCTAAACTTCCTGGATAGAATCTCCAGGTGAGGCTGAGAAGTCTGTGTTGTCATAAACTCTCCAAGCATCAGGGAAACGTAAATGAGAACCACAAAGAGAGATTACCCAATATCTGTTAGAATGGCTATCATCAAATAGACAAGATAGCAAATGGTGGCGAAGATGTGGAGAAAAGAGAACCCAGATGGGAATGTATCACTACGGAAAACAGTATGGAGATTCCTCAAAAAATTAAAAATAGAACTACCATGTGATCCAGCAATCCCAATTCTGTATATATATATCCAAAGGAAATACAATTACTGTCTTGAAGAGCTATCTGTGCTTTCATGTTCATTGCAGCATTATTCACAATGGGCAAGTCATGGAAACAACCTAAGTGTTCATTGACAGATGAATGAATAAAGAAGATATTTTATATATATATTATATATATAATGAAATATTATTCAGCCATAAAAGAAGGGAATCCTGCAATTTTCAACAACATGAATGAAACTTGATGGCATTTGCTAAATGGAATGAGTCAGACAGAGAAAGACAAATACTGTATGATCTTGTTCATAGTTAGAATCTAAAAACATCACCAGGAGCTGAGGGGTGGGGGAAATGGGAAGATGTTGGTCAAAGGGTACAAATTTCCAGTTATAAGTTCCGGGGATCTAAGGTACAGCATGGTGACATAGTTAACATACTATGTCAAAACTATAACAATACTATATTGTATAACTGAAAGCTGCTATGAGAGTAGAGCTTTAATGTTCTCATCATAACAGCAACAACAAAATAGTAATTATGTGAGGTGAAGGATGTGATAACTAACCTTATTGTGGTAAACATTTTGCAAGATATATGTTTCAAATCATCATATTGTACATCTTAAAGTTACACAATGTTGGATGTCGATTACATCTCAATAAAGCTGGAAAAAAAAACCACTCCAAGTCTTTAGCATATAAATGCTAAAGTTTGAGAAGCACTGAATTCTAAATCGCCATACCAGCCTGGCCTCAAGCAGAAATGGACTGTCAGAAAACCTTTCTGCTGATGACCAGTCCTCTGAGCCTGTGGGGGTATTGCCACATCCTCAGACACAGAGCGCTTCCCATCCTTTGTCTTTATTTTTTTCTCCCCATGCTACATTGTGATGCACTACAACACCAAACAGTGGATTGATTAATGCTAAGGAAGATTGATGAGAACGAGGTGAAGGATGGAAGGTGGACAATGTATGAGTGTTTGTCCTTTGTCCTCTGCCCTCTTTTACACTCAATCCTCCTTCTCGGTCTGAGTAATCTCATTCACTCTCAAACAACTATCACGGGTTAGTGGATCAGCTGTAAACAGTTTCATTTTCTTCAGCTCCAGACCCACATTTTTGGCTCTTGTCAAACATCCCTACTTGAATGTCCCACTACCACCTTATATTCAATATGTCCAAAAACAAGTTTCACTTTTCTCTCTTTAAACCTTGTTCTTTCTGCCTTCTCTGTGCTTTTTTTTTTTAAAGATTGGAACTTGAGCTAACAACTGTTGCCAATCTTCATTTTTTTTCTTTTTCCGCTTTTTCTCCCCAAATCCCCCCCGTACATAGTTGTAATTTTAGTTGTGGGTCCTTCTAGTTGTGGCATGTGGGATGCCGCCTCAGTGTGGCCTGACGAGCAGTGCCATGTGCGCGCCCAGGATCCAAATCAGCGAAACCTTGGGCCGCCAAAGGGCAGCACGCGAACTTAACCACTGGGCGACAGGGCCGGCCCCTCTGTCTGTATTTTGAGCACCATCTTTTTCTTAGGCTTTAAGTCTTAAGATGATCTTCTGTTCTCCTAATGTCGCTTGATCTTCAACAATCAAAAAGTAGCCAAGCTTTCCTCTTCTCCGTACTTGCAAAATCGCAAATATTTGACTTTTTTTTCCTTTCATTTATTCTGTTCTGACCGTACACCCTAAGTCCTTCCAATACGTAGATGCATATGTACAAATATTCCTTGCCTTTCTCCATCTACAGTTGGTAAGTTTCAAAGAAGAAGTTGGGTAATGAGAACCCAGCCCTTTTCTTGAAAGTGAGCTCTCACAGGGAGCAAACATTCTCTTCTGTTTCTCAATGCCCTAAATTTTCTAGGGGCAAATACTGCTCTTACAATGGGAAAGCCTGATATTGGGGAGTAAATTCAAGTCAGTAGCTACTACTCACTCATGTAAACTATTAAAATTGTTTTCTAACTGGCCTTCTGCAGAATCTCGTTTTCTTCTTTGTCCAATGACATGCTCCTCATTTTCATCTGAGACCTCATCAGAATGGCCTTTGCTATCTGTATTTCTACCATTATTCTGTTCCTGATTACTTATGTATCCTCTAAAAAGATGGAGGCTTTCTCTACAGCTCTCCTCTTTTCTTTCTGAGCCCTCACTGAAATTGCCTTTAAAAATTCCTTCATGAAGCCGGCCTGGTGGCATAGTGGTTAAATTTGCCTGCTCCACTGCAGTGGCCCAGGGTTCGCAGGTTCAGATCTCAGGCACAGACCTAGCACTACTTGTCAAGCCATGTTGTGGTGCCATCCCACATAAAGTAGAGGAAGATTGGCGTAGATGCTGGTTTGGTGACAGTCTTCCTCAAGCAAAAAGAGGAAGATTGGCAACAGATGTTAGCTCAGGGACAATCTTACACACACATACAAATCCCTTCATGACAGTCTCAGCTTCTTCTAACATGGCCTCAAAACTCTTCTAACTTCTACCCAGTTCCAAAGCTGCGGCTACATTTTTAGGTGTTTGATACAGCAGCACACACTTCTTGGTACCAATTTCTGTCTTAGTAGTTTTGTGCTGCTATAACAAAGTACCATAGACTGGGGGGTCTTATAAACAACAGAAATGTACTTCTCACAATTCTGGAGGCTGAAAGTCTGAGGTCAGGGGCTAGCATGGTCAGTTTCTGGTGAAGACCCTCTTCGGGGTTGCAGACTGCTGACTTTTCTGTTGCATCCTCACATGAAGGAGAGAGAGCTCACTGGCTCTCTGACCACTTTTTATAAGGGCACTAATCCCATTCATGAAGGATCCACCATCATAAACTACCTCCCAAAGGCCCCACCTCCGAATATCACCACATTCAGATTATGGTTTCAAATATGAATTTTGGGAAACACAAACATTAATTCTATAACACACCCTCAGTAGAGTTTACATTGAGGCAAACTCACTTACCCCTAAGACTTTCATTTTTGCAGCAAGTAATTTTGGAAAGGGACTGCTAGACTCATAGGTCGTAGCTGTAAAGTCCGTTGACTGAAATTCAGGAATGGCGATCTCTGGAGGAAATACCAGAAACACAGGATTGCGTGGAGGATTTGAATCCATGATGGTGTAGTTGATATTTTGAAGTGAAAAAATGCTTTAGTTGCTACTCCAGTTTAGACCATGTTCTTCTCCTGTACCAAGGCTGTCTGGAGCACTGGCGTTGTTATACTTTGTCTTGGAATTATGGAACCATAGTGTCACAGAGTCACGGAATCTCAGGACTGGTCGAGATCTCAAGAAGGTTAGCGAGCAAAAGGCCCAGGAGTGGGGGTTGGAGGACCTGACTGACAGTCTGGGTTCAGTCAGGAACTAATTGTGACTTGGGCAAGTCACATTCCCCTCTCTTGGCTTCAGATTTCTTATATGTACATTGATCAGCTTGGACTAGATGATCTATAGACATTTCAATTCCCAAATCAATGAGTATTATGAACACTTATTCTAGTTGTCTATCTTCAGATGGTAGAAGACGAAACCTCTCAGGCCACAGAATTAATTAGCCACTTCTGGAAGTAGACATAGTGTCTATTTAGCCTGTCAAAAGTTTGTTTTTTGCCGCCTGATTTTATTAGCTTTAGCTATGAACAAATCACTCTAAAACTTAGTGGCTCCAAACAACCACCATTTGATCTTGCTCACAATTCTATGAGTTGTGGGTGGTTCTGCTGGTCTGGTCTGGCTCAGCTCTTTTCTGTCAGGTTTTCTCATGCATCTGTGGTCAACTGGTGGAGCGACCAGAGCTAGATGATTTAATATGGTCTCAGTCACATTTCTGGCAGTTGGCAGATTCTTGATTCTCCTCTGATTCACAAATGTTTTTCAAACCTCTGCCAATTCATGTGTGCTGATGTTCCATTGACCTAAGCAAATTGTATATGCAACCCAGACTCGAGGAGTTAAGTAAATAGACTCCATACCTTCATGGGAAGATCCGCACTGTCATATTGCAAGGACGTGGATGAAGGGAGGTGGTGTGTTCATTTATACACTCTACTTTGTCATCTTCTGATGTTTCCTAATAAGATCAGATCTTCCTAAATTGAAATCCTGATGTGATAGCCTCTAGGCACTTGCCAGTAAGAACATGTTAAAGGACCACCCCCCTTACAATTTCTCTTCTCTCAATTTATCTGCTCTCATTCAGTTTTCCACTAGAGAATCCTAATGGTGATAATCCTTTACGAAAATCCTCTGATGTTGGGTTAGTGTTCTCTGAGTTAAGCAAACTGGATTCCAATATCCTTTATAATATACCATTTTATCCTATTGCTCATGTTTCAGCTTTCCTCTGGACCTTTTCCAGTTTCACTCTCTCTCTTTTTGTTTTCCTCTAAGCATGATGTCTAGAACAATGTTGTAATAACTATCTGACAAATGGTAGAAAGATAACTTTAACTTTTTGTTATTTTTGAATTCATGCAAGCCAATTCTGGAGATACAGTTGAAGACTCAATCCACAGAGCATAAAAACCTAGAATTAACTCTAAGTCCTTTTATTTGCTAGTTATGGGGTCTTGGCTAAGTGATTTATTAACTTACATGTTTATATTAGGTTGCATATTTATTAAAACATTGCATTTCTTATCCTAAAATGGGAATGAGAATTGTTATCTTGTATGGTTATTGCAAGTAAATTATAAAGCATCTGGCATATAATGGATGCTAAATAAATTGTAATAATAAAAGTAATAGTAATAAGTATTATTTCTATTATTATTACCGTTTTGATCATGGTGGCCAGATGCTTTGTTTGCTTTGTGTTTGCATTATTTCCAAAGTTTATTTCGGTTGGTTCTTTATCAGCTAAATATCCTATGGATTTCTATAAGCTTAGCTATAAGAACCTTGGAAATGTCACACTGAGTTAGTCCAGAGGTTGTTTTACCTCATTTCTCTGCTTCAAAGCGGCTGTGGAACTCCATAGCCTCCTGCTAATAAATCCCCTACGCCCATTGATACATGGATGGTATGCATTTGTACCCTGCTTTTCTTTCTTCCCATATCCTTAGATTTCTTGTTATTTTCTGATCTGGCAAAACCTACTCTTTCCATGAGAATTACTCTAGCCTTAAGATGGTTTGTGGGATAATGTATAATATCCCTGTGTTCCTCAATGTTCCCAAATCAAGGTTTTATTTCAAGCTTCTTGTTGCTAGTCTTCCAGGGAAGTTACCATGCTCCAAGTGACCAGAGTCCTCTGATTCATAGTCCGTGGATTAATCCTCTCCTTTTCACAGCTTCTCTTCTGATTCCTTTGCTAGATAGTTCCAAGAAAGAAAGGCTCTCTGTGCTCTCTTATTCTCTTCCTGCAGCTGAAGCTCCATTTTGTTTTTAAGTTTGTCATCTTTCTTTCTTTTGCAAAGATCTCTCCTTTTTTAAAGATCCACGTTGATACTCTGGAGAGTACAATGGTAGCAGTCAACCAGTGTGATCAGATGTCACCTGCTTAGGGCTGCCAAATCCTTTAGTTTTCTCTTGCTCTTTAAGTTAGAAATAATAACGGCTCTAGATCCTACCCTATGAGTGATGATAAAACCCAATGTTCCTCCCAGATATATCTTGCTAGGGGCGAGTGGATATGAGGGAAGAGGAGCATCTAGGGCTTCTCTTTTCCCTAGTGGTCTCAGTCTCTTGTATTCCTGCTTCTACTGAATTCTTAGTTTTCACTGTATGTCTGAGTGTCTATGTATTATGACTGTTTTCCTCATTGCGTTTTTCTTCTGGTTACCATCCTGATTTTCACTCCCCTAACTTAGTGTGAACACAATATTGCATATATAACATACTTTAAAAAGTAATCATAGCAAGCACTTCTACAGTATCTATACAGGCAGGCACTGAGGAGTTCCCGCTGGCTGTATCTTCTGACATAAACTCTCTAATTACTATTCTTTGCCCTATGTATGGATATTACAGCTTCCGTTTGTGACTATCCAGGGTTTGTATTCTCAAAGAAACAAAGATTCCTTGTTTCATGTGGTCAGATGAGCTTTTTATCCCCTCACTCCCCTCCTCATCTTCCAAGGAAAAACAGGGTATGTATTAGTCTGCTAGGCCTACCATAATAAAATACCATAGACTGGGTGATTTAAACAGCATAAATTTATTTCTCATAGTTCTGGAGCCTGGGAAGTCTAAGATCAAGGTGCTGGCTGATTCAGTTCCTGGTGAGGGTTCTCTTCTTGTCTTGTAGATGGCTGCCTCCTTGCCTTGTGCTCACATGGCCTTTCTTGAGAGTGTGCACTTACAGAGAGAGCAGAGCAAGCTCCCTGGTGTTTTTCTTGTAAGTGCACTAATCTCATACTGAGGTGCTCTGCCCTCATGACCTCATCTAAACCTAATTACCTCCCAAAGGCACAATCTCCAGGTAGCATCACATTGGGGTTAGAGTTTTGACTATGAATTTTGGGGAGGCACAATTCAGTCCACAGCAAAGAGATAATTTGTATTATTCAGAATGAAGAGATACTTTGTTGGCATAAAATAGATGCAATTTATGCCATGAGAAGCAGTAATTACTAGTAAGATAATTTGTTTTATAAATGTTTCATTATGGAAAAAAATTGAGTGCTTACTCTGTGTCAGGTATTCTTTCAAATTCTGTACATGCATTAATTATTCGAGCTTCACAACAATCCCATAGTGGGTACTATTCCTATTCATCTTTTATACATGGGGAAACTGAGGCACAAAGATTTTAAGAAACTTTTCTAAAATATTGAAGCTAGTAATGTTGCAAAATTATGAACCGGTTGGTTTAGATTTAGATACTGTGGACTCAGTTTGATGCTTCAGAGCTTCGCCTTGAGGACCTAAAGCTTTCTGCATTGATACATAAAACCTTGTCTCTGACCAGCAACTCCACACCTGGATCCTAGAGGAGGGCAGAGGGATAGAAAATCATCAAGGGAACTTAGGGAAAGAAAGGGGTATGTGTGTGTGTGTTGGTGGGGGGAGCAGAGTGAGAGGTGGGAATTCCCAAATGTCCAAAGTGTACCTTGTGAACTGCTGGAGAATTTAATGGGTGAAAGGAGAGCTGCACCCTCCTCAGGATTCTGTCTGTGTGACCCACCAACAGTCAGTTTAGCTTTTTGGTAAGGCGAAGTACCAACACGCCCTCCTAGGCATTATAAGCACAAGTGAGGCGTTATATAAATAGAGACGATTCTTTCCCAAAAAGCATCTCTGCACCACTTTTCTTAATATAACATTTTAGTTTCTTGCTATTGTCAGGTTGCCATGTGTATACATCTGTATTGCAGCAACTCTCCTTATCTAAGATTTCAACAAAGGGCTTTCCCAGACCTCGGCCCCAATTCAGCCAGCATAATCTAGATGTGATGTTTGATCTCATGTGTCAATCTGACTGGGCCATGGGGTGCCCAGATATTTGGTTAAGCAGTGTTCTGGGTGTGTGTGTGTGTCTGGATGAGATTAATGTTTGAAAGTTGACTCAGTAAAGCAGATCGCCCTCCACAATATGGGTGGGTCTCATCCAATCTCTTGAAGACTTAAATAGAACTGAAGTCTGAGCAAGAGAGAATTTGCTGTCTCTGACTGATGATCTTCGAGCTGGAACATAGGTCTTCCGCCTTGAACTCACACTCAGGCCACAACTTATATCACTAGCTCTCCTGGATCTTAGCTTACAGATCTTGGGACTTTCAGCCTCCGTAGTCATGTAAGCCAATTCCTTATAATCAATCTCTCTCTCTCTCTCTCCCTGTATATATAATCCTATTGGTTCTGTTTCTCTGGAGAACCTTAATGAAACCTAATACAGGTGTTATGGAAATTGGTACCTAAAGGAACAGAATTTTAAGGATGTGCTTTCTGAATTGATTCTGAGGTTTCTGAAATTGGCTCTGTAATCTGATTAGCTTTAAAGATGCTAGTGACTATTTCCAGTAGTAAAGAGACCACTGATAGTCCATGGCATGATCTGGCAATAGAGATACACAGAATATTGGCTACTCCTATCAACCACGTGTAAGAAGCAAGTGTGACATTCAATGATCCCAGCCCCTCCTCTGTGTGACTACTTGCTGCTCTACACACTTTAAAATAATTCACATGTTCTCCTGATTTATGGCCTCCATTTACATATGTCCTCCCCTATAGCTTGATAAATTAAAACTTTGTTCTATGAGTTTCTCTCCAGGAACAGGCTGACCACAGGC